TTATAGAGATTATAATATTACATCATTTCTCTGTTTTTCTCTAAACCTTCCCACATACCCTTCCTTGCTCTCTTTCAAATTAATAGCTTCTTTTTTCATTAGTTGTTACTACATACATATATGTAGAAGTATATATGTATATTCTTAGATACATATATAAACTTAGTCTGTATAATACCTCTTTTCACTTTCTAAGTTTTAGCAAAATTGTTTTTGTCTTTTACATTCCTCTTTGTGTCGGGTGTGGTGGTGGCACATGCATTTAACCCTAGCAGTTGGGAGGCAAAGGCAGAGGGATCTCTGTAAGTTCAAGGACAGCCATAGCTACATAGTGAGACCCTGTCTCAAAAACAAAACAAACAAGCAAACAAAAAAAATCCCTCTTTGCTTTTCTCCTAGGAAGCTCAGTGTTAAATAGAAAGTCCCACCTAAAAAACTGTGCTAGACTCCACTCCCTTTCTGTGTTACCCTCCACGGCTATGTGGTTTCCTTTCGATCTTTCTGTCTCAATTGCTTTATTAGAAACCCTGTTACTAGAACGCTGATGAGGAGGTTAAGAGCACTTGCTGCCCTTGGTTGTGAGCTCTGGTGGGTGCTGGTGCTGAATCTGTGTCTTCAAGAACTATGATGCAGTGCCCTTAACCTCTGAGCCATCTCTTTAGCCCTGATCCCATTAAGAAAAAAAATGAGATTATAATATTACCTCATTTCTCCTCTTCTGAGAACCGGGTTCAGTTCTCAGCACCTACATGGTGACTCACAACCATCCAGTTGTGAACCGGAACCAGTTCCAGGAGATCCAATGCCCTCTCCTGGCCTCCATGGGCACTTGGCATATACTCAGCAAACTTACAAACATGAAGACATAAAATCTTCTAAATGGAATCTTGTTACAGGGGTTGGAGAAGTGGCTCAGCTGTTAAAAGAATTTGCTGCTCTTGCAAGAGGACCTGGGTTTGGTTTCCAGCGCCCACTTTGGGCATCTCATAGTGACTTGCAATTCCAGTTCCAGAGAATCTGACACCCTTGTCTGACCTTGGTGGGCACCTGTATTCACATAATATTCATACAGACAAGCAGACACACACATTAAGAAAAAAGTCTTAATCTAAAAAAAAATATATATATATTAGAAGGCCAGAGAAATAGTTCAGCAAGTAAGTAGCTGAAAACAAGCCTGGCCACCAGAGACTGGACCCTGGAACGCACACAGAAGTAGGACATGGTGGTACGTGTCATTCTAGCACTTCTGTGACAATGAAAAGAACAGACAGGAGAGGCCCTGGGAGCCTATGGGCAAGTAAGCCTGGAGTAGGTATGCATCAGAGCAGCCAACCAGAGAAAGCCAAGGGGAAGGTGAGAAGCAACATCCCAGGGTGTCCTCTGACCTCCACATGGATACTACGGCATGCACACACACAGAACACAAACACAAATAAATACATATTTGAATTTTATTTCTTATTTATGTGTCTATATGTGCTCAAATCTGTGTGTGCCTATAAAAGCTAGAAGATCCCCTGAGGTAAAAGAATTGTGAGCCATTTGACACGGGTCCCAGGAACCAAACCCCGGTCTTCTAAAAGCACCCCTAACTACCGAGACATCTCTCCAGGCCCTATATGTAATCCCAGTACTCAGGAGGCTGATGCAGGAGGGTAGACTTGAAGGCTGGCTTGGCCAATTTGGCCAGTATCTTAGATTTCTCAATTTTTAGGAATAAGACAAAGAACCTAGCTGACCATAGTAAAACAAGTCTTTAATCCCAGAACTAGGGAAGCAGAGGCAGACAGATCTCTGAGTTTGAAGCCAGGCCAGTCTGGTCTACACATTGATTTCCAGGTCAGCCAGGGCTACATCTAGAACCTGTCTTAAAAAACAGATAAAGAACGTAAGCCAGGTATGGGGCCACACACATTTCCCCAAAATTCAATAAGCTAAGGCCAGAGAAGTGGATGAAATTCAAGGTTAGCCTGGGCTACATAGTACCAGACTAGCCAGGGCTAAAAAAATGAAACCCTGTCTCACAAAAACAAATCAACAAAAGCAAGATGGCTCAATGGGTAATAGCACCTGCCATGCAGGCCTGAATCCCAGGAACTCATAGTAGGAGAGCTGACTCTCAAAAGCTGTCTTCTGCCCTCCATACATGCACTGTGGCAGATATTATCATACAAAGACACACAATAAAATAAACTTTTACTATAGCACAATGGTAGAACACATGCTTAATATGCACAAGGGGACTGGGTTTGAGCCCCAACAATAACAACAATAAATAATCTATTTACCAGTAATTCTAAAAGTTAAACACAAAAGGAAAATAGTTTATGGAATGAAGCACTGTTCAATCCCAGAACTGTCAAATAAAACCTATCTCCTGCCCAAGTGTGACCTACAGCCACAGTGGCTCATGTTTCTAATTTCGGCATCTGGAGGCTGAGGTAGGAGGACCACTTTGAGTTTGAGGTCAGACTCAGCTGTAAAAAGAAAAACCAAAACAAAAAGTGTGAAATAGGACCAGGTGTCCACATCACCTCAGAGTTCGTTGGTCTTAAGCCCTCAGAGGCCGGAATCAAGAACCTACATAGCAGGATCTTCAGATCAATTGCTAAACACAGGTCCATTTCTCAGACACCCCGGGAGGAAGCAGGACGGTTTCACCTTCCTAGAAAGGATCAACTACAATGGTTCTATGACCGCAGATTATATCCTAGCCCAGGGCAGCACACAGACATGTCTGTCCTGTGCACAGACACCTGAGAAAGCACAGGACATACATGGCAGGTGTTTAACAGCTAACTACAGAATGTCAGAGTTGAAAGAGAGCCCCAGAAAGAGTAAGAGTAGGGTTCAAGATAAATTTTGGAACAGTAAAAGCAGAATTACATACTTGAATTTTTTTTGTTTTGAGCTACAAGTAAGGAAGGAAGAGATAATTTAAAGAGAAACAGGCATGTCAAAGGGAATAACAGCTGGAAGGAAATACATGTTTCAGTGTTTCCCGTGACACAGAAAACCAAAGTGAGGCAGTACTGCCCGGGGTGATGCTCCACATCTGTCTGCCTAGCAAACAGAAAGGGTTCTTCCACTTTTCATGCTGCCTGTGAGAAACTCTGAAGACAATACGGCAGTTTCTCCATGAGACAGACTAATATAAGGCAACAAGCTATCCACAACTCAATTTCATATGTTGTTTCTAAATTTTTTTTGTGACTCTCACCCTCAAGACTTTTTCCAGTCGTATTAGGCTCTCTATACATTCAGTCCTATAATCAACCTTAGCCAGAAGGCAGACAGTGATCTAGCTCAGCCCTTTGCTATTACATGAGGACCAAGAAAGGGACTAAGAGTGAGTGTCTGAAGCTGGGCACTCTAGGACGCTGAGGCAGAAGGATCAACTCTAGTTCCAGACAAACCTGGGTTGTATGATTCACCAAACCAGGCAATGATGGTCTATGCTTATAACCCCAGCACTGGGAGGATGCCAAATCAGGCCAGCCTGGGCTACTTAAGAAGACTCACCTCAAAAATAAATAACACCTCTATAAAGCTTAACCATTTGTTTCCCACTTAATTGATCTCGAATGGATGTTAAGACTTTAGAAGCATAAATCTATACTTTCGGCAGGGTGACACTTTTTTTTCGGGGGGTGGCTATTTTGAGACAGGGTCTCTGTGTTATGAAGCTTTGGCTATCCTGTACTCACTATCTAGACCAGACTGGCCTTAAACTCAGGGATTCACCTGCTTCGGTCTCCCGAGTGCTCTGATAGTCTCTTCAAATATTCTTTTTATATAAGGTATTTTATATCAGTACTTTATAACCCATGGAATTGATGCTATTATTCTACCTATCCACCTTTTCTTTCTTTCTTTCTTTCTTTCTTTCTTTCTTTCTTTCTTTTTTTTGTAGGTCGTGCTGGGGCCTGAATTCCACTTTATAGATGAGGAAACTGGGGCACAGAGAAGTTAACTTATCCAGAATCAGTAGCGTGAAAGGGGTTGAAATCTGATTCTATTCAGAGAGCGCGGTTGTTTCCCTAACCTGTAAAAATAATCCAACAACTTAAAGGCTTTTTAAAAGTTCCTGTTTTCTCAACTTTTGGCTTCACTGGCTGCTCTTGTTTTCGTTTGGCTGCCTTCCCTTACAGACCTTGCATCCTGCTAGGGGGCTGGGGTAACCACAATACAGCGCCATATGTCGAAACGGAGGCCAGTAAAGGCTACTCAGAGAAGGTTATGTTTTTTAGTTGTGGGAAAAACTTTTTAAAAGCTCTCCTGACGTGAAGCTGACGCTCCACTCTTCCTAAGTGATCGAGAATTGAACCCAGACCGCTGGAGAGAATAAGGTAAGAAGTGACTTGTATTTATTTTAACCAAGCTCAAACCAAAAGTGTCCCAACCGGTCAGAAGGTGTACCACACTATCTCCTTTCGCGTCTCCGACCCCATCAATTCCCAGTGAGGTCTACCTTGCTCTGAAACTGGCAGTTTTCCGCTCGTTTTTATTATAAACAACACACTGAATTGAACCTGGTCATTATAAAGAGCTTCTCTTAGGGTTGGGGCGTGTGCCCCCGAGCTGCAGAGACTGGTTTACAGGTGACACAGATCTTCGAGATAAATAAAATAAAAATGAGACGCCTTGCTTTCCTCCTCGGCTGCGTTCACTGTGCCAGGGAAGCAGTGGCCTCCCGACTGAGAGCGTCCGTGACCGGCCGATTCCCCGAGACCAAGGTCGACGCGCGCAACAGCTGCGCGGCTGCCAGATGTGCGGCCCCGTGCGCTCTGCAGGCCGCACCGACACTCCGCTGCCTGCCCCGCCGCTCCCCATTGCAAGATGGAGGCGGAGGCACGAGGCGCCCCCACCCCGGCCAGCCTTTGTGCCCTCCAGGCCGCGGGCCTCGCACAGGGCCCCACGCCGAGCCCCAGACACGCGCGGGCTGCCCGGTCTCGAGTCTCGGCATCGCGACACTCGCGCTGCTACGGCCTAGTTACCTCAGTTCGAACCGAACCGTCGCACGTCCAGAGCAGCCCGGAGAGCTGGGCCGGGGTCCCAGGCGGCGACTGCCTAGCTCCCGCGGGCGCCCGCACTCTAGCGGGAAGGAGAACTGAGCGCCCGCCGCGCCCTCCGTCCGCACCGCCCCTCCGCGGAGGACGCCCGAGGCAGCCGCCAATAGGAACCCTCGGCGAGGAGGCGTCACCAATCCGCAGCCCTCTTCTGCTGCGAGAGCCCGCCCCTTAAATGGCCCTGGCCTATGGGAGGCCGGGGCTTCTTTCGCCGCCGCCCCGACGCTCGTGCCAGCTGGGTGGCTGGCGGTCCCGCTGCCCACGCCGATGGCTGGGCGCGCGAGCTCTCCTCCGGTCGGCTGCGGGCGGAGGGCGCCGTGGGTTCAGTCGTGCGCGCAGAGACAGGGAGGGCGGTCCCAGGCCTCGTGCTCCCTTCTACGTTCGCGTGGAAACCGCGGGGGCGTGGCCTGTGCGGCGCGTGGGATTCGGGCGGAGAATACTGTGGGTCGTGTGTCCCACTGTACGGTGTCCCCGGTCGGTTGGAGACCCTCAGCCGCAGGGAGAGGCCCAGCCTGCCACAGCAGTAGTTGGAGAAGAGCTTCCCCGCAGTCGGCTTCCACGGTGTCCTGCCGGTTCCCCAAATGGTCCGCGGGTGTCGGAGCCCAGCTGTGGTCAAGGGCACGCTGACCTGTGAGATTAGAGAAGGAGCCGGGCTGAACCTGCCACGACAGCTCAGAGACTTGGTCTGACCTTAGGGAAATTTTACCTTAGGGAAATTTTTTTTTATATTTATTTATTTATTATGTATGCAATAGTCTGTCTGTGTGTATGTCTGCAGGTCAGAAGAGGGCACCAGACCTCATTACAGATGGTTGTGAGCCACCATGTGGTTGCTGGGAATTGAACTCAGGACCTTTGGAAGAGCAGGCAATGCTCTTAACCACTGAGCCATCTCTCCAGCCCCCACCTTAGGTAAATTGACAGCCAGGCTGGCCTCCAACTCACGATGATTCTCCTGCCTCAGCCTCCCTAGTACTGGAAGTACAGGCAAGCCCCATCACGCCCAGCTTTTTATCTGGCTTTGCTTTTTATGAGAGTAAATTTTATTGTAGCTCGGGCTGATTTTGAATTCCTGATCCTTCGTCTCTGTCTCCTAAGTACTGGATTTTTTTTTAAGTCAAAGTGTATTATCATACGCAAGCCCTTGAGTTCACTCCTCAGCCCAGAAGGAAAAAAGAATTCAAAACAGAAATATGTCAGATGGGTAGTCAGCATTTACCAGCATGTATCCAGTTACTTGTTTAAAGGAAAAAATAAAGGGCCTAAGAAATCGTTTAGCAGTACATGTTGTAAATGCAACTGAACATTCGTATAACCTCAACCAGATGTGTTCTGCTCCCTCCTTTGCCCGTGGCCCTTCTCATTTTTGTAATGAGTATGCTTTACTCATTATTATTGTTGTTATTATTATTATTGACAAGGTCTCATATAGCCTGGACTAATCTGGAATCACTTTGTAGCCAAGGATGGCCTTGAATTCCTGAGGTCCTCCCGCCACCACGTCCCCAGTGCTGGGATTGAAGACGTGTGCCACCATGCCTGGTTGATGTGCTGGTGGACAGTGAGCCCGGGGCCTCATATGTGCTCAGCAAGTACTCCGCCTACTGAGCTATGTCACAAGACTCTCTTGTTTCTAAACCTTGCCATAAGAAGAGCCTACTACACTTGTATTGGTTGTCTTAATATAAGTAAGTTCTTTTCTGAGCCCTTCAGACACGAATGTGGAGAGTATTAATGATTATCAGAATTTATACATGATCACAACCAAAACAGTGAAGTGAGCCAATGAATGAAACTTTGAACATCCTCCAAAACAGGAAGTTGCAGTTTCTTGTGAAACTGTGCTATATTCGTCTTAGCTCTTATGTTTCCATGGATCCTTTCTGAACATAGGAGCAAGTAATATTTTGCATTATCTTTCAAGTCTTTTAAAGTTTTATTTTAGTTTTTATTTACATTTGTTTACTCATTTGTGTGGGGAGGGGCCGCACACACCACAGTGTTGGGACAGCTCTTGGGAGTCAGTTCCCCTTTCGGCTTGTGGGTCCCAGGGAGGAACTCAGGTCATCAGGACTGGAGCGATGGCCTTCACTTTCTGAGCCATCTTGGTCCTATCTTCCAAAGCTTAATCCCATAGTCACTATTTTTATTTCAACTGCGTGTTTGTTTTTGTTGTTTGGTTGTTGAGACAGGGTCTCTCTCACTGTGTAGCCCTGGCTGGCCTGGAACTCGCTTTGTATACCAAACTGATCAGTTACATTTTTATTATTCAACTAGGACTTGTGTGTTAAGCCACATGCTCCAGCAATTTCATGAATGAAATGTCAGAGAAGAATTATTTATAAAGAAAATATTATTTCATTGATCCTTGTGTAATTTCAGAAGAATCACTTATTTCCTTAAAGCTGAGCTCACCTTGTAAAATTTGCAGTTTTTTTTTACTATAGGGACAGTCTGGCTGGTCACGCTGTTGGCAGCATGTGCTGGACACTGTGTGCTGCCACTGCTGACATTTGATACTGCCAGAGTAAATGACATCCTTCTTGACTGCAACTCAGATCAGCGTGTGCTCAAGCCTGCATGTCGTGGAGACAGACATGCAGTACCTTCCTGAAAGCTTCCACAGTAAGAGTAGAGGCCCTGCAGTCTGCCAAGATTCATGCAGTGGACATTACTCTCCAACAGGGGCATTCTGCAAGCACTGGGAAAACCACCCAGATAGTACATAGATAGATGAAAGATGAAAAAGGAAGGGAAGGAACAGAAAGAGAGATGTCTCTATTCACGGTACCTTCTCCTCCACTCACCTGGAAAGCCACCTGCCAGCTCCAGAATAAGCTCACGAGATTCCTGATGGCGGTTCAGCTGTTGTCTCTGTTCTGTCCCCAGCCCGTGGCCACCTCCTCAGATCTGAATGCTGGGCTGTTGTTCCCTGTGTACTCGTAGTTTGCATTCTGAGCGCTGTCAGGTTCAGATTGGCCAACAACTTGGATACCATTGCAATTAATGCTCACTTCAACAGATTTGACCTTTACAAAGCAACCCCATGTTAGGAGCGTTAGCAGGTATCCTGAAACCTCTAAAGGCCCGTGTGGAGGAGTTGACTTGGCATGCGCTTCACTGCTGTCTCCCTGACAAGGAAATGTGCTCAGGGAAAGCTGTCTGAGTGAGGGACCGGGTTAGGATACGGAGAGACAGATGCCCAGATGGCACTGTCTTGTGGCCTTCTGCACCACAGATAAAGGTGAAGTTAGAAGTTAGGGCTGGAGCAATGGAGGTTGAGTTGTCTGTCATAGATACTAGAGAACTGTAGACAGGAAGGAGATTCCGTAAGTTAGAGAAGAAGATAAAGCTCGAAAAGCCAAGACCAGGTGTTGTAATGTCTGTTCAGCCATCTTGTTGTTTTTTTTTTTAAAGCATATCTGTTTATTAGTGTATGTTGTGCCATGACACGCGTGGAGATAAGAGCTGGCTCCCTCTTCCTATCCTGTGGGTTCCAGGAAGTGTTCTCCAGGCATCAGGCGTGGCAGCAAGCGCCTTTACCCACTGGGCTGCCCTTAGTCAACCATTTTGACAGTAACTGTAGAAATTTAAGTCTGGAACAAATTGAGTTGGTTTTTCCAGATGTACAATGTCAGACTGTCGGAATTCATGTGCAGGCCACAGACTGCGTGTCGTAACATCCATTCTCACAATACCATGTTATTAAGTTTCTTGAGGTTGGGTGATGTTTTTGACTACGAATGTGGAATTCTCCCTTTCAGAAGTTTTCCCCTTTCCTCTCCCTCATGCAGGTAGCAAGTTTGTTTTACTGTCTTCAAGGGATGTTTGTGGCAGGCCGAAAGCTAAAGGCACCTGCAAAACACTTCTTCCTGACTCTTTTTCCTCCTTCTCTCCCAGCCCTCCCTCCCTCCATTTTTTCTTGCTTTTCCCTCCCTTTCTCCTTTCTCTTTCTCTCTCTTCCTTTTTTCTTTCTTTTTTCTTTCCCTTCCCCCCCCTCCTCTTCCTCCTCCTCCTCCTCCTCCTCCTCCTCTTCTTCTTCTTCTTCTTCCTCTTTCTCTCTCTCTCTCTCTCTCTCTGTCTCTCTCTCTCTTTCTGGAGGGTTTATTTCGGCTAATGATTTTAGAGATGTCAGTCCATGGTGTGAAGGGCTTGTCAGAACAGGACAGTTCACATCCTGGCAACAGAGAGAAAGGGAATGGTGGTGCCCGGCAACTTTTTGCTTCCCCTTTGTATTCAGCATGAGGCTCAGCCCATGGGACAGTGTGACCCACATTCAGGGTGAGTCTTTCCCCTCTGTTAATTCCTCTGGAAACCCCTCACAGATCCACCTAAAAGGTATGGGATTCTCTAGCCAGTCAGGTTTATAATAAAGATTAACCATTGTGGGCTCAGTTGGTAAGGTGCCTCCTGTGTACACATGAGGACCTAAGCACAACCCCTGTGCCCACATTCTAAAAAAAGTTAAAACCAAACTTGGAACTGCATGCTTGCAGTCCCAGCAGTGGGGAGACAGAGACAGGCAGCTCCCTGGAATGCACTGCCAGCCAGCCTAGCACAATCAGTAAGCCCCCAGCCAAAGGACATTGTCACAATAAAAACCAAGTGGGTGACTCTTGAGGAATGACGCTTGAGGTTGACTCCAGCCTACACATGTACACATACATGTACGTATGCCCACATACAAATGAACATGCATACACACACACATGAAATACCATAATGAAATCCATTTTTAAAAATTACCATCACACCTAGGCATGACACGTGTAACTAACTCATGCCTAAAATATCAGCATTCTAAGAATCTGAGACAAAAGGATTGCTGCAGTTTGAGGTCAGCCTGGGCTATGGAGCAGGTTTCGGGCCATCCTGGGTGTATTGTGCCTTCCAGATATAAATTTTAGAACTAGAACCCTCTCGAGTTTGCAGATGATCTGCAGTTCGAGACCAGTCTAAACTACATGATATGATCCAGTCTCCAAAAGCTAAATT